CCCCAAAACCCCAAAACCCCAAAACCCCATGAAGATGATTAATTAACTATTCAATAATGTTTTAAATCTCAAGTCAATAAATAATAAAATGCATCTAAATATCATTTTTAAGGTTTTAGATAATAATAAATTTTCAAATCAATTGGAGCTAAATGGATAATAAAGATTCGAAACCAGCTATGGAATACAGATATCTTGGAAAGACTGGACTCAAAGTATCAGTTTTATCTTTTGGAAATATGGTAAACCATTAAGCTGCTGACCCTCAAGCCTCAACAACAGAAATCGTTGCTAAATGCCTTGAATATGGAATCAACTTCTTCGACACAGCAGAGATTTATTCTCTTGGAAATGCTGAAGTTTTCCTTGGTTAAGCTTTCAAGGACTTAAAAGTCAGAAGAGAAGATATTGTAGTGACTACTAAGTTATTCTTTGGAACTGACGGTTTTCACAGTTTAAACCCTTCCTGGGTTAATAGAAAGGGATTGAGCAGAAAGCATATCATTGAGGGCACTAGAAATTCTCTCAAAAGACTCTAACTAGATTACGTGGATGTTATTTATGCTCACAGATATGATGAAGATACTCCTATTGAGGAAGTAGTAAGAGCATTCTCATGGGTCATTGATCAAGGTCATGCTTTCTATTGGGGAACATCAGAGTGGGATGCTGATCAGATTACCAATGCTATTCTCTATGCCTAAGCTCACGGTCTTCACGCTCCAGTTACTGAATAGCCCCAATATAATATGTACGTTCGTGACAGACTTGAAAAAGAATATGCAACTTTGTTCAAACTTTACGGTTATGGTACAACCTGCTGGTCACCCCTAGCTCAAGGTCTCTTGACTGGAAGATACAATGATGGCAATATGCCAGAGGATAGCAGATTTGTTGTGGATAATTCTTTCAAGGACTTTAAAGATAGAGCTATGAATTAATTATTCGGACCTGGAAAGAAAGAGAAAACAATCGAGGCTCTCAACAAATTAGCTGAGCTTGCCAAATAGCATGGTTTCACATAAACTCAGCTCGCTCTTGCCTGGGCTCTTGCTAACACAGATGTATCTAGTCTTATTCTTGGATTCTCAAAAGCTCATTACGTTGAGGAAAATGTGAAAGCTCTTGATCTTTATAGAAAATGGAATTAGGAGTTAGAATCAGCTGTGGAGGGAATTCTTGGAAACACACCGGCTGCTTCAATTAATCCAAGAGAGTTCAGACTTAACAAGACCAGAAGACAACAATAAGTTCTCTTTGGCAAACTATGAGATAATTTTTAGGCCTGATGATTTGCGGCTATTGAAAATCAAGAATTTTTCATAAGAATTAATATAAAGACAAAGATATTTTACTCTCATAATCTTCAATATCTTAGGAGTTGGGGTTTTGGGGTTCGGAAACTAAGGATGATAATTGGTATGCTAAGTAGGAAA